GTCCTCTCTGTGGACTGGCTGCTCTAATTGGGGTCATCGTCCTCAAGTCCTGGTGGGCCAGGATGTGCGCCAGTCTCTCCTCCTCCCCCGTCATCTGCTCCTGTGTGCTCTGGTCAGATCTATCCTTCTCCCAAAGCTGCAGATTCAGTGCCATCGTTTGAGATACATTCTTCTCAGGGGAGGCCCCTCTCTTAAACTCTAAGTTACCCAGTAATTGATCGTGACACTGAGGGAATCTTCCTATAGCAATAGACTAACTTAGCTGTCCAGACTGGGGCTCTGTGACTGTACAACATGGTTTCATAATGATAAAGGTCAAGGACAAATAAATTCTACCCGTCAAGAGTTAGAGTCTTGGGAGCTCACAGGAGGAGTTCTACTCTGTCTTAGAGCGTGGCTGTGAATCGGCTTTGACTCGATGGTAGTGTTTGGTTTGGGGGAGCATGCTCTGACTGTGGAAGTCATAATGACCTGGGCTCCTCTCTAGGGGACTCAAGATGCTTATTTAGGAAAACGATCAAAAAGATGGGTCTTTTCTGAAATGTTGGCCTTAGATCTTGTCATGTGATTTTATGTCACTGCTGCTATACTATTTTCTTATTCCGGAAATGACCTTGTGAGATAGTCATGAGGAAGAAAGACACGGCTTTCTATTCCTGTAAAGAACTGCAGTCTCGGAAACCTATAGGAAGGTCTGCCCGGCCCTGTAGGGTCACTATGCGTTGGGAGTGCATTTGGTTGTTTTTTTTTTAATATAGTCATGAAGTTGGATTGTGCGTGTCTTTACTTATTTAACTTTCAGACACTCTAGTTAGAAAAAAGAATGACAGGAAAAGGAAAATGTAAACAAAAACTTATGTTAAACAAGAAATAATCTTTACACTGTATAATAGGCTACCAAGTGTCCTCTCTTTATCCTTCAATATTCCCATTCATCAATATTCCCTCTCGTTTTTTCACCTCTGTAGACTTCACTATCACCCAGGACCCAGAGAAGGCCGCTGGGAATGAAAACAAGTGAGCTCACTGTTTGAGGAAAGCCAGTCCCTGGAGCAGCCTCCGGTGGTATTTTGTTATCCTAACTTTCCAGCCACGTGACTTTAAGCTGTGTTGTTTCAAGGCCTTGCCGGAGGACAGGAGGGTGGGGTCTGCTCTCTGAGATTTCTTGGCCGCAGATCAGGCGAGTCTGCAGGGAAACCTACCTTGCCTAGAAATAGAGCAGACCAGCGAGAAGCTGCCGTGCGTGGAGCAGCCGCGGGATCCAGGGGAAGTCAGGCTGCTTTTGCTAGCTCCAGGAGACTGGAAATTGGATCCTCAAGGGACCATACCCCCAAGCCCCACGCAGAACAAAAGGCCCGTGTGAAAACATCCGTTGACTCTGGTGAAGCAGACAGCTTCCATAGCACAAGGAAGCACAACCCAAACAGGTCCCACTGGTGGCAAGGGGCAAAGGTACAAAGTTCAACGGGAGTCAGGCTCCTGGGGCCAGCGCCTGCTGCGTGTGTGGTCTGCGCTGACACTGTTCTTGGTGTTCAGAATCTCTAGGGGTCACCTCAGAAGTCTTACAAGAAGAAAAATACTGGCGATTTTAGCCAGTTTAAAGTCAAGGGGCAAAAAGGACCTAAATCCATAACCATTACGTTTTCGTACTCCTATCAAGTAATATAGTTCAAAACAGCAACAGCTGTTTATACTTTCGTTTCCTGTTGTTTGTTTGCTTGTTTTCCTTGTTAGTCACTTTAACTGATTGGGCTCTTTCTGGATAAAATACTTACTGCGGTTTGAAAGCCATTCACCAACAGAAAGTTGACAAATTTCACCACCTCCATGGCTGTGTCCATAGAATATGTAATAAAGACTTTCCCTACAAGAGAGATTTTTCACATGGATTAGAAATGAGTGAAGTGATTCGATGCTAACCAGTGCTTCTGAAAGGCATGTGGTGTCTTTTGTTCTCCGAGAATAACAAAGGGAGACCTGCGGTGGGGGCAGTTTGTCTGGGAACTCCAGCCCTCTGCGGTGCAGGTTATTCAATTGGATTGCTGTCCTCAGAACAGAGCTCCTCAAAGTCAAGGGGACCAGGGGCCTATCCAAAGGAATGCCGACTGCTCAGGGTAGGGGGAAATACGCGGCATACGGGAGCTCTCGCAGGCTGGGAGACAAGCTGAAGAGACCTGAAAAAACACATGATGCTTTAACAAAAATCCACCACCCAGAACTTGTGGGTCCCTAAGATCAGACCACCATCTGGTTTCCTAGAGCCACTTGGCACCATGCCCAAGGAACACTCTTCCAGCTTGCCAAAGAAGCAGACATGCTACAGGAGACCCACAGGGCCACCCAGCAGGGTCCTCTTTTGATCTGGTGATGATGTTCTCTGTGGCATTGGAACATCCGCTTGACTAGACCCAGGGAGGGACGGGGGTGGGGCTGGGGGAAACAGGAAGTTGGGGTAGACTACCGTGCTACTCAAAATGGTTAGTCAGCACTTCAGTTACTTAAGGGAGAGACTCCACCGCAGGGCATTTCTACCCTCCTGACTCCCTCACGTGCGCCTAGGTCAGCTGAGAGCGGCAGACAGTAAGGGGCAGACAAGTTTAGCTCCGTCAAAACAAGAACCAATGTTTTTTCAGGCGAAAGGCCTTACAGGCATTATCGCTCTAGCAATGTAAAGTGAGAGGGAAATCCTGTCTGCGTTGAGTTTTAGTTGAGGAATGGACTGGCTAGATCTTAGGAAGTTCCTGGGGCAGAGGGTTGGAAAAGAAAGGAGGCTTGTAGGGAAAATAGGAATTTGTATGCACAAGGAGACTTCAAAACGTTTATGGGAAAACGAGATGAAACGATAATGGAATTTTCCCATGAACGCTTTAAAGCTCCCCTCCTATTCAGCTCTGCTTGATTCTCAAATAGAAGTCTGTACAATGATTCGATAGACCTTTTTTGGCAACCAGCATATTGATGATACTCAATTTTATTCTCTATACCTAATATACAAGCAACTCCCATGTAAGTACTTTTAGGACTGCCACTAAAGATTAGGGTTTTTACTCCAGGGCTTACCACCTACAGTGGTGCTGTCTGTCACCAAGGGCTCTGGAGGCATAGTGGTTACCTACTAGGCTGCTAACTGCAAGATCAGCAATTCAAAACCACTAGTCACTCTGTGATGGGGCTTTCTACTCCCATACAGAGTTACAGCCTGAGAAACCAGCAGGGGCAGTTTCTACCCTGCCCTGTAAGGTCACTGTGAATCAGCATCGACTTGATGGTAGTGAGTTTGGCTTGGTTTTGTTTTTAGTTTCACAGTGGTGCTGTCAGGTAACCATTGGACTGCTAGCCGAAGGGTTGCTGGTTCAAACCCACCAGCCACTGTGAGGGGAAACGGTACGTCGATCTACTCAGGAAAAGATTTGCAGCCTTGGAAACTCTATTTAGAGTCATCAGGAATCATAGTTGATTCAGTGGCAAAAACGAACACACCCAGAAACCTCCCAGCCGTTGTGTCAATCCTGACTCACAGCCACCTCACAGGACACAAACTGCTCCTGTCAGTTTGTGAGATTGTAACTCTTCGTGGGAATAGAAAACCTCATCTTTTTCCTGAGGAGGAGCTGGCAGTTTTGAACTGCTGACCTTGATGCTAGCAGTCTAAGGTATAATCCACTATGCCACCAGGACTCCCAGACTCAGTAGCAGTGGGGACTGATTTGATCCTATAGGTAGTAATATCCATTCTATAGAAAAGTTCCAAATTAAAACCCAGTATTTTTTCAAGAACTTTGGGGGTGGGGAGGGACAGTGTAGATGAAGAGCAACAATGGCTCATGGTCATAGAAGTCTTTCAGAGTTATAAATAACTAGAGCACAGATCTTCCAGCAACAAAGGCTGGTTTCAAAAAGGTGCCGAGATTTGGCAGAGGTTTGACAGAATTGTCTGAGCCTCTCTAGTGAGCACAGCAGAACCTAGCAGTTTCACACGTGGTGGCTGTTTTCGAAAGGTTTCTGGAACTGACTTTCCTGACTGACCTTAATCTGTGAACATTTTGGTGCGTATTTCAACTTTCCTGGTTCTGGCTGCAAAACGTGGAAAAAGAATCATCACCTGACACTTCTTTGGAGCCAGCTTTACATAAAAAGCTGAGTTCGCATTTGGTTGTGAAGCAGTACAGAGAACGTGAGAGTATCTTTCTTCCAAACAAGATTGCTCTTTCCTACAGGAAATGGCCTGGCTCTTGATGGCTGCTGCTGATTTATGGTGAGACGGCGAGGTCTCTGGATAACACCACACGGTCGTCAAGGCCACTCCAGAGCAGCATGTGGAGAGGGGACAGAACAGTGGAGTTGTTGGTTGATGGAGCGTGTGTCTGAGAAAGTCTAGTGGTAAGCACATTGTGAGCATTACTTGGAGTTTCAGAATCTCTAAACACACTTATTCAAAAATGCGGGTTATTTCTATTGAAAATCAAAGGCTAGAAAATAAATTGTATTTCACAAAATTAAAGATGAATGATACGCGGGTCTTCACCAATTTGAAGACCTAACCAGGAGGCAAAAACAATATAAGAAACAACTTACGTAATTCTTCTGGCAAATTGCTTGTTTTCAGAGTTCCTCTGGCTGGAGGGTTACTAGGGGGTCTGGGGACCGCAGCTGAGGACAGAGCCTGGGGACCCTGTGGTCTCAGGTCTGCAGGACGCTCCAAGGAGTGCTCAAGAGCTCCAGCTCGAGTCCGTGTCTGGTGATACAGCTGGTCCCTGGAAAGGCACACGACGACAGTCAAGGTTCATTTCTTTTGAAGACCGACCGCGAAGGACAGAAATCCTTTTAAGAAGGCTTAGAAGTGTGCCTTCTTCTTTGGCCTCCACTTTGTATCTGAGAAGGAGGGACCCATAGAGGCCCATGGAATGCTAGCAGCAGGGGCCTGTGAGAGTGGTCAAAAGAGGGGACAGGGTTTGGTTTCCCAATTCAAGCACAGTCGAATTTGGAAAATACACAGTCTCCACCCAACAGAGTCAGACCTCTACCATACAGGCAGACCTCAGAGATGTTGAAGGCTCGGTTCCAGGCCACGGGAGTAAGGGGAATATTGCAATAGAGCAAGCCACGCAATTTTGTTGTTGTTGTTGTTGTTGTTTTCCAATTGCACATAAAAGTTCTGTTGACATTAGACGAGTCTAGCTAGTATGCAATAGCATTATGGAAATGTGTGGAATATTGCGCGAGTTGCCAAAATGGAGCACAAAGCCATGAAACAGGCACACGCTGTTGGAAAAACGGTGCCAGCAGTCTTGCTTGACGCAAGGTTGCCACAAAATTTCAATTTGTTGTTTTTCTAAACCCACAATGTTGGCAAGGTGCAATAAAGCCCTTGTCAGAAATGAAGTATTCCCATAATGGGGGCGGGGGGGGGGGGTGCCCAAAGGTTGGTGCTATAGATAATGGCAGAAACAGTTAACTATAGACCAAAAGGCAAACAAGGTCACACACTTTCAAAGCATGATATTGTTCATATGTGAACAAAAACGTGATTTCCGAGATCCTTTAGCTATCGTTTTGTTGTCTAACATCTTCATTCTTGTTTTGCTTGCCAGTCTCTCAGGAACATTCTGCTGAAATAGTCCATCAGCTGTACGTCTGTAGGCTTTGGGAGGCCGTAGGGAAGCGCTTGCCTGTAAGCACTGTACAAGGTGCTGAGTTTTCTGCAGGACGACTCTCAACTTCATGAGTGTCCAGCGCAGGGCGTAGGGCATCCATTTGGGGCCAGTACACTTCTAGCAGGCTCGTTCTGGAAGAGCTCTGGGCCCCACAGCGATCGTGAGGGCAACGGCAACTTCCTGCTTCAGGACTGTACTTGGCACTGGGACCAAGGGCCAAGAGTTCCAGGGGCAGAGGGGCTCTCTTCTTAGGCCATCGTGTTCTGTACTGTTGCTTTGGGGTTGTTCCTAGAAGCCCAACCCAAAGCTCATCCCTCCAGCCACCAACAACTTTGTAAGCACTCAATTCCCTATCTGTAACCCCATTTTGCTTAAAACAGGGATAGTTGTTTTCCTGTTTTTTATAACTGGATCCTAACTGATGGGGGGGGGGGGGCTCAAACTGTATTGGTAATATTTCATTTCTGATTTTAGAATCTGAAGCAAATGTGGCAATATTAACATTTTTTAAAAATCTAGGTAATAGGAACATAGCTATTTGAAGTTTTTGTGTGATTGAAATGCTTTCATATTATACGTGTTAAAAATGTGTTCTTATTGTAAAATCTATGCATGGTTGCTCTGCATGGTTTTATAGATGGTCGCTTGTACTTTCATATTTTCCCCAAATGAGTAGTAAAAAATTCAGAAAGTCTTACATAATAAGATTTAAAATAAAATAATTCAGAATCTTAACTATATTTTATTTTCTAATCTGAATGTTTCAGGAGGCTGTTTTATTTTATTTTATTATTAATATAGAGAAGGCAATCTACAAAATAAGCCTAATCTAAAGGGGATCTGGTTCTACTTCCTTTTCCCACCAAATTCCTTTATATCCAGAGGTCCTTACTTATCATAAAAGACAAGTGACTGTCCCCTTGATAAAGAAAGGTTAAGATCCTGATGATATTTTTTAGACTTCATTTTGAAAACAAATCTTATAGGTTTTGATGAAAGGGTAAACTTTCTGGATTCTTCTTTAAAATAATCAATCAAAGGGCGATTATCTTCATCATCTAAAGTTATTTTTCATTATCCTAAAATGATGAAATAAATCCACGGAGAACTTAGCCGGCTTAGGTTGTTGTTACACGACCAATTACTCTGTATTACCTTTGCAACTCCTCCACAAATCTGAAATGATTTCAAAACAAAAACTTCTTCTCTAAAAAAGTACTGTTGCCTCCCTTATTCAATACCAACCTTATTTTATGAAGATGCCTAAAATCTATTTTCTTGGGATTTTAGAGATTTTCTCTGCAGGAGTGTTTATCCTGATAGGAAAGCTTTCTTCCTTTCTTTTCATTGCATTTTAAAGTACATACATTTTATTTTTCTTTAAAATAAAGGGTCTGGGAATAAAAAGTTGAATGGAACTTGTGGTCTTTTCAGTAGACAGGACAGAAGGTGTGTGCTTTCTCTACCCTGGTCAATAAAGAAGGCTTCCCCCCTTTCTAATAACTTTTATTTTTAGCTTATTACCAATTTCTGTATTTCTGAAAGATCCACATTGATAGACCCTTCAAAACCCATTCCTTTCTAAAGAACAACATAGTTTTCATTTCAGTGGGATATAAAGGTTGCGTTTAAAGCAAACATTTAATCTATAGAAGTGGTTCTCAATCTGTGGGTCTCAACCCCTTTGGGGGTCGAACGACCCTTTCACAGGGTTCGCCTAAGACCATTGGAAAACACATATTTCCGATGGTCTTAGGAACCGAGACACCACTCCTATCCATCTCCAGGCGGGTCCGCCCACATGCAGATACGCCCACGCCCACATATGAGTACCCGGCATGAAGACTGTTACCCGTGTTATACCATGCTTCAAACAAAATTTCACTTATTTGTCATTAGAAATAAATATTTAACAATATATAATTACATATTGTTTTTTTGTGATTAATCACTATGCTTTAATTATGTTCAATTTGTAACAATGAAAATACATTCTGCATATCAGATATTTACATGACAATTCATAACAGTAGCAAAATTACAGTAACATCGATAATAATTTTATGGCTGGGGGGTCACCACAACATAAGGAACTGTATTAAAGGGTCATGGCATTTGAAAGGTGGAGAACCACTGATCTACGGGTTACCCCCCACTATCCGAAAGTAGCACATTCCCATGAAACTTCCCATGATTCCAAATGGTATGAAGGAAGATGCAATTACCATGTGTGTTAGTCTCGGTAGACTAGAGAAACAAATTCGTAGACACTCATATGTATACAGTATAAGAGAGAGTTTCATGTAAAAGAGCACTTGTATATTGAAAAAACATCCCAGCCCAGTCCAGATCAAGTCCATATGTCTGATATCAGCCCATATGTTGTTATTAGTCCATAAATTCCTCTTGGACTCACACAGCCATGCAATGATGCTGAATGCAGGAAGATCACAGGCTGCTGGGTGGGAAGTCTTGTGGATCCAGTGGTGGTGTAATTACTGTATCTCGGTGCTGGCAGGGGTCTCCACGTGGCTCCTTCAGCGCCAGCATGCTAGTGTAGCTCCATGTGTCCACAGGAATGTCTAGCAGGGAGTGAGCCTGCGTCCCACCTCCAGAGAGCTGGTTATCTACTTAGCACCTCCAAATGAGGTCATCAAGCTGCAACCTGATTGACAGGCTAAACTCCACCCCTTCACTCTTAAGTCTCAAATTGACAACAGGTAATGTAACTACCACGCCATGAATTTATATTGGGTAAAAAAAATTTGAACACGCCCTAACCCTCCTTCTCCTCAGCCCAAATAACCTTCCAAATAACACATAAGACCTAAGATGACTCAAACACGTAGTGTTCGCTGACATTGTTTTGAGTTATGCTGAGTGCAGCTCCTGGGGGAGGAGCTCGGCAAAGCCAGTCTCCTTGCTCCGGGTACATGTAACAACTCGTTGCAAAGCAAATCCTGAACACTAAAACACTGAACACTAAAAGTTTCACTTTTCTCTGTATTTTTGGAGGTTTTTTGGCAGGAGGGACAGGAGTGTGAGGTAAAAGCACAATTCTTCATTGCTCTTCTCTATCAGGACAGATACGCATATCGTTCTCTTTGTTAAAAGGGAAGTGGCGTGGAGCGAACTTTCAGAGAATGGGGGCTACCTGTATTCTCTTACCAAGTTGTCGGGAATTAGGGAGGCCTTCTTCCCGTGAGGGAGGCCTTCTTCCCGTGAGGGAGGCCTTCTTCCCGTGAGGGAGCCCTGGTGGCGAAGTGGTAATGTGTTGGGCTGCTAAACTGCAAGGTCAGCAGTTCAAAACCACTCCCCTCCCCACTCGGGGAAAAAAACTGACTTTCTACTCCCATAAAGAATCAGTCTCAAAACTCATAGGCAGTTCTACCTTGTCTTATAGGGTTGACTTGATTGTAGTGAGTCTGTTTTTCTTGTTTGGATTTGTTCCTGTTTCTGTTCGCTCCATAAACTTTAAGAAGCAAAGAAAAACTTGACGAAGAGTCAAAAGAGGACAATGGGGAGGGAAAGATTATAAGAGTGTTAAAAATAATAAACTGAAGTCATGAAAAACCAGAATTGCCTTTCTGGAAGAAGACATAAAAGAGTGACTTAACAATGGAGCTCAACACGTCTGAATGTTTTTATTACAAAGGAAAATAACAGGTTATTTTTTATTTGCCTTGAGAATTTACTGAATTTTTCAGAAATGAAGTAAGAAATGAGTTTAAACAGTACCAGAACTAGAGAGAATAGAACTTCCTCCCCGTGGGAGGCAGTCATCAGTTAAAAAAAAGGCCAAGTGACAGGGATGTAAAAAGAGTCTTTCCTTCAAGAGCATGCAGACTAGACACTGGTGGCTCTATAGGTCTAGCTACAGCGATACCTATGCGCCAGCCTTCATTTCCTCCTGACCTGAAACCGTCTACAGCAGCCATTCCACCATGCCTTGCTCCACTAGCCTGGTAGCAACCCTAAACAAAGTTCTGACACATCTTGTAGGACTGGCATAATTCCTTTTCACGTTAAAAGTATCTAAGCATACTGCCAGGTGGCCCTGCTGTACTTACTCATGCCTCCGAGGCCCTGGGGAGGAGTCATCTCTTTGTGCTGGCCTCTCTTCTTGGTCCTGAGATCTGGGACAGTTCAGAAGGACCTTCTGCATAGGAGGAAGGCCTCTCACACTGCCTCCAGGTAGGGGCTGCCCAGGTCGAGCTGGCTGCACCACTTGTTGGTAGGCCGCCCGAGGGTAGTCGTGGCCATCTGCAGATTAAAACCATAGAGAAAAGGGGGAAGATCAACACGGGTTCTGTGTGAGAGGGAGGTAAGCTCTGTGCAAATGTTTGTCTAGAAACCAGTGGAAGATTCCAGCTATCAGAAGAATGGTGCAAAGACCAATATTGAGTCTTCTATACCTTATCTGCATGGTCCCACCCAAACGTGTGGTGGGAGTTATAGACAAATGGATAGGAGATTCATATTTAAGCGGTTAACAAGCACCAACCTCTTGGTCCTCTCCTTCTAAAGTCTGCAGGAGCCAGACACCAGGTCAGTTAGAAGAGGGCAAAGCAAAGGCTAGTGGCAACTGCTGTGAATGTGGAATGGGGGAGGCCCAGGAGCATCCCTGAAGGGGCTAAAGTGTTGAGGTACCTCAGAGAAAAGGGTGGGGATCTCGCTTCAGGGTGAGCCCAGCTTATGAGGCAATCGGAAAGACCCATGTGGGTAACCCCTCTTTCTCCAAAGTGAACCTTGAGCACCTCCTGGAGATGTCAGCCAGAAGTCAGGGGATCCAGGTGGCGTGGAGAGTTAGGACAGGGAGGACCCTTCACCAAAGTCCATCCCCACCCCCCACCCCCCAATTGTGTGTGTGTTGTTTTTACTAATTATAAAAGTAATCATCAACTTTGCCGTGTAGGTAGGATACATGCAGTTGTCCAGTGAGGTAGTGGGAAAAAACTAGCAAGCACGCTACAGTCATGGTAGGTCGGGCCCCAGATGGGGAGGGGGAGAATGCTGGTGAAGAAGTTTATTTAACAAACTTCGAAGTCGCCAGGGAAGAGGACGATGAGTGATGGCCTCAAGGTACAGACCAGAAGACAAGTAATGTGCATGTTTACCAGTTGGGCAGCCTCCACGTCCTCACTGCTGAGTGTCCGGAAACTTAGCTGGGTGGTCCTGGAAATGTGCCCAACTCCATCTCCAGTGCCTGGAGCCAATAGAGTGTCTGTTTGGACCTCTGCTACCAGCTAGGTCTTTCCGGTTCTGACTCATAGCGACCCTGTGCACAACAGACGGACACACTGCCCAGCCCTGCGCCGTCCTCACAACTGTTCTTGTCTGAGCCATGCCTTCCTTGGTCAAATGACAGGCCCCTCCAACCCAGGATTCCTCTGGCCAGGACCTTGGCCTGGTCAAGGTGGATCTCAGGGCATAAGGAAGAAGAGGCGAAGAGGCTCCACCTGGGCCTGTCCCAGCACCTGGCTGATGGCGGACTGCAGCTGCAAGGCAGAGGTGGGAAACAGGCTCACTAGGACCTCCATAGGCTAAAGCAGCGGTTCTCAACCTGGGGGTCGAACGACCCTGTCACAGGGGTCACCCAATTCATAACCGTAGCAAACTTGCAGTGATGAAGTAGCAACGAAAATAATGTTATGGTTGGGGGGGATCACCACCACATGAGGCACTGTATGAAAGGGTCGCGCCATGAGGAAGGTTGAGAACCACTGGGCTGGGGTAAAATATGCAACACAGGCCGTTCTCCTACAGCTCTCGTCGGCTGCTAGCAGGACAACTGAGCGGGTCACTGTGGTAGCTCCTTGTTCCCAGCAGCCATCGGGTCACCAAGCAGGGGCCGGCCCCTGTGTGTTGTGGTTTGGTGAACACAGACACCGTAAACACCATCTCAATGGTCTCTACCTGTTAAGCTCAACAACCTTGATCGCATTCTCAAGCTGGGCACCCATTCTCACCAGCCTGCCCCACACTGTCCGGCCACGGACCTAAACTCAGTCCCCTAGCCTTTCCTGTCTGCTGCCATCTATCTGCTCTCACACAGAGGATTCCTTAAGAGCACGATGCTCAAGGAGACACACTTTCTTTGCCAAGATAAGCTGGCCGTTTGCTTTGCTTCTCAGTTCCAAGATGACTGCATGAGATCGTCTTGATCCCTTGCTCTTTGTGATTTCACCCCTTCTCCACACTCTCTCGTTCACGTAGCCAGTGACCTAGCCTCTTTCTTTTATCTCCAACATCCCAACGGTCACCTGTGAGGCTATAAATTACTTCATACAGCCTTCTGGCCACATGACTCCCACCAAATGACTCAGTAGGACTAGGCAACTGTGAGGGGCATGTGGCCCACCCAAGGGACTGGCTAGATTGCTGCTGCTGTGATAGTTGCTATCCGGTCGGTTCTGAATCAGAGCAACCCTGTGTACAACAGAAGGAAACACGGCCTAGTCCCGTGCCATCCTCACAGTTATGGTTATTTGACCTCCTTTTTGCAGCCACTGCATCACTCCATCTCATTGTGGGTCTTCCTGTTACTCACTCCCCTTCTACTTTACCAAGTACGATGTCTTTTTCCAGGGACTGATCTCTCCTCCGAGCATGTCCAAAATATATGGGACAAAGTCTCACCATCCTTGCCTCTGAGGAGCATTCTGGTTGAACTTCTTCCAGTACAGATCTGTTTTTTTCTTTGGGCAGTCCCTGGTATTTCAATATTCTTCATCAGCACTTTAATTCAAATGCATCAATTTTTCTTCAGTCCTCCTTAGTCCATGTCCAACTTTCATATACATATGAGGCTACTGAAAATACCATGGCTTGGGTCAGGTCCATCTTAGTCCTCAAAGTAACATCCTTGCTTTTCAACACTTAAAGTGGTCTTGTGCAGCAGATTTGCCTAATGCAAGGAGTCAACGAGTGAATGCTTCCAGTTTTTCATCAGCTTGTTGAAAATTTTCCATTGCTATTCCATCAATTCCTGGATCCTTGTTTTGGGCTAATATTTTCAATGCAGCTTGAACGTCATCCTTCAGTACCAGTGGTTCTTGCTCACATGCTGTCTCCTGGAATGGTAACTAGTTCTTTTAGGTACAGTGCCTCTGTGTATTCTTTCCATCTTCTTTTGGTGCTTCCTGCATCATTCAGTATTTTGCCTGTAGAATCCTTCAAGATTGCAACTGGAGGCTTGGATTTTTTCTTGAGCTCTTTCAGTTTAAGATATGCTGAATGTGTTCTTCCTTTTTGGTTTTCTAAAATTCTAGGTCTTTTCACATTTCCTTATAATATTTTACTTTGTCTTCTTGAGCTGCTTTTTGAAATCTTCTGTTTGGCTCTTTGACTTCATCATTTCTTCCATTTGCCTTAGCTCCTCTCTGATTAGGAGCAAGTTCCTGATTCTCTTCAGATACCCATTTTTCTTTCTTTCATTTCTTTTAAATTACCTTTTGCTTTCTTCCTGAAGGATGGTCTTGATGTCATCCCACAACTCATCCGATCTTCTGCCATGAATATTTAACGCATCAAATCTGGTCTTGGGTTGTTCTTGAAATTTGCATGGGATAGACTCAAGGTTGTATTTTGGCTCTCATGGACTGGTTTTAATTTTCTTCAGCTTCAACTTGAACTTATATATGAGCAATTCAATTGATGGTCTGTTCCACAGTTGGCCCCTGGCTACTTTTAGCTGCTGATATTGAGCTTCTCCATCGTCTCTTCCCATAGCTGTAATCAGTTTGATTTCCATTGATTCCATCTGTAGAAGTCCATGTGCACAATTGCCTTTTGTGTTGTTGAAGAAAGGTATTTGCTATAAACAAGGCATTGGTCTTGCAGAATTCTACTATTTGATCTCTATCTTCATTTCCATCATCACGACCATATTTTCAACAACTGTTCCTTTCTTTGTTTCCAACTTTTGCATTCCAGTTGTCAATAATTATCAATGCATCCTGATTGCATGTTTGATCAATTGAGACTGAAGTCACTGGTAGAATGCTTCCATTTCATCGTCACTAGCTTTCGTGGTTGGTGCATAAATTTGAATAATAGTTGTATTGATTGGGTTTCCTTGTATGCAAATAGACATTATCTTATCATAGACAGCATTGAACTTCAACACAAATCTTGAAATATCCTTCTTGCTGATTAATGCAATACTGTTCCTCCTTGAATTTGTTATTTCTGGCATAGTAAACCGTATGATTTTCGGATTCAAAATGGTCAATACCAGTCCATTTCAGCTCTCTGTATCTAGAATAACAATTCTTATGCTTGCCAGTTCATGTTTAATCATTTCCAATCATCCTAGATTCATCCTTCGTACATCCCAAGTTCCAATTATGAATTAATGTTTGCAGCACGTTCTTCTCATTGTTGTCATGGCCCATCAGTAAATAAAGGTCCCTACGGCTTTGCTCCCACAGGGTGTATTCCATGCATGTCATTATAGTTGACTCTGTTTTGAGAAGGCAGCTCATCCTCAGTTATATTTTGAGTGCCTTCTAACCTGAGGTCGAGAAAGATAGGGCTTTCTACTCCCGTAAAGAGTTATCATCTCAGAAACCCAGAGGGGCAGTTCTACCCTGTCCTGGTGGGTCCCTGTGACTAGACATGGGCTCAATAGCAGTGAGCCTGGTTTGCCCGCTCATCTTCTGACAATGTTCAGCTTCTACTCCTTAGGTTTTCAATAACTAACAACGCTTTGATGCTATCCATAGGATCTTCAGTGGCTAATTCCCCTGAAGTGGACAGCCTATTCCTTCTTCATAGTCTGCTCTTAGTCTGGACGCTCTGCTGAAAATGGCTCACTTTTGGTGACCCGGCTGGTAGTTGAAATACCAGTGACATAGCTTTCAGCATTCGAGCAATGCACAAACCACCACAGACGAGCAGTGAAGTTAAAAGAGGTCAGACGCCAACTCCACGCCATTTTTGCAACCCCCACATCAGGGATGTTGAGCTTGTCATCCTCTCTGCCCAGAATGTTCCTGCCCTAGATCTTTACATCCCAAACGCTTACCAGTCAGGTCTCAGCTTGAATATCACTGCTTCAAAGAGGTCCACTCCACCACCATCCACTCTACCTATCCTCCTGTTTCACTTTCTTCACAGCACTTACCCTGAGTTTATATATGTAGCAGTACTCCTACTTACTTGTCAACATACTCTCTGCCTTCCTTAGAAGAACACAAGCTCGATGAAAGCAGGATCTTGTCTATATACCACTGTATTTCCAGCATAGGCCTGACTTATAG